AAAGAAAAAGAAATTGACCCTGAGTAGACCCACATTTGGGGGACATCAAAGCAGTTAAATACATGGACAAAAATAAAGTCCTAAGCCCCCTGCTGACTGAAAAGATTCCCTCTTGGCCAAGGGGGACCAGAGAAACCTTAAAACTTGAGTTCCCAGCCATGACAAAATGGGAGGTCAGACACTTCTCATTATACCCCCCTTCCTTGCTAACAGCCATCAGGCATTTTTTTCCTAAGAGCTAAACAGAAACACATCTCATGATCCAGACCAGCATTCTCTCCTGGTAAGACACCACCAACCACGGAGTGGTTTTAACCAGTTTATGGAGTACGCACAGAGAGGGTTTTCATATCCTCTGCTTCACCTTTCGATGTCAGAGGGTTGCCATTTTCTGAATATGGACCCTATAAAGGGGCATAAAGCTCGACTGTGCATGCACCATGTTCTCCTTTCATAAATACTCATGACTCCTCCTAGAGCTTGTTAAATATGTATATTTGGCCACCTCACCCAGCACAAATTCCTATTCCCATTGTTCCTCCCTAAAAGCAAGAGTTTCTGGCTTCTGGCTGGAGGCTCCGTTTCCCAGTCTGTCAGAATGGCCACCTACAAGCTGCAAGCTTTTGAGAAATAAAGCTTTCCTTTCCAAATTTATGAATCTTGTCATTTTCTACAGTTAACAAATATGATGAAAAAATTAAAAAAATACACTAACAATAACTTAACTAATAGGGAATCTCAACAAGAAATGGAAACTAAAAAAGAACCAAATGGAAATTCTGAATGTGAAAAGGACAACAAATAAAAAATTCACTAGACGTGCTCAATAGCACATTTGAGATGTCAGAATAATCAGTGAACCTGAAGATAGACCAATATATATTACCAAATCTGAAGAACAGAGAGAAGAAAGATGAAAGAAAAGAGAACCTCAGTGAACCATGGAACAATATCAAACCTTTCACCTTACACGTAATGGGAGTTTCAGAAGGAGAGGAAGGAGAAAAGGGCACGCAGAAAAAAATTTGAAGAAAGAATGCCTGAAAACTTCTCAAATTTGATGAAATTTACTTGCAGATCCAAGAAACTCAACAAACCCCAGGGAGAGTAAGCACAAAGAGAACTAAACCTAGACACAACATAGTTAAACTACTGAAAGCCAAAGGCCAGGAGAAAATCCTGCAAAACACAACTTAAGACATTGTTTAGGATGCAAATATATGTAGAAAAAGTATAAAGATATATAGGTGATAAACACCAAACTCAGGATAGAAACAAAAGGGAGAATAATAAAATCATGGAGTGATATACAGGAAACTTGAATTGTATTTATAATGATAAGCCAGGCACCGAGCATAAGGATATGTGTCATAATATTCTCTGTATCTTTCTGAATGTTTCAAATATTTCATCACAAAAAAAAGTAATCAAAAAGGATTAAGCCCTCTGCTATGTGAAGAAAAAAGACTTTCGGGGGAAGGCCTCTCATGTAGTTTCATGACGATATTTTTATAATAAAGTATGCCTTTATATTGCTTATCTAGACTCATTTAAAACAGGTTAAAGAAAAATTATGTGACTATATGCTTCAAAGAGAATTGCCAAATATAAGAGTACCTGTGTACCATTTTTCATTATTAGTCTGCAGTAACACACTGGAAATTCCACTGACTTTCACCTATAGGCTTTACCTTACAGCTCCTGAGCCATTCCATACTGCTGGACACTGCGAACAATACGGCCATTCTTTTGAATCTAATCTATTATCAATGGCATCCTAGGGAAGAAAAGAGTTAATACCATCAAGAAAATGTTATCAATTCCAGGATTTTTTTGGTTTAGTTTGTTTTGGTAAAGATCAAAACTTGTATTTGGAAT